TCCTCATAGTCAGCTCAGGCTGCTAAAACAAAACACCATAACTGGGTGGCTTTTGAACAAGAAAAGTTTTCTTCTCACAGTTCTAGAGGCTGGAAATCCAAGATCAAGTTTCTGGCAGATTCAGTGTCTGATGAGGGCCTGCTTTCCAGTTTATAGACGGTGCCTTGTTGCTGCCAACTTACATGGTGGAAGGAGAGGACGAGGAGCTCCCTGGGCTTTTTTTTTTTTTTTAAATGTATTTATTTTATATAAGGGCACTATCTTAGTCCATTTTGTGTTGTTAAAAGGAACATCTGAGGTTGAGTAATTTATTTTATTTTAAAAACTGGCCAGGCATGAGGCTTATCCTGTAACCCTAATCCTTTAGGAGGCCAAAACAGCAGGATTGCTTGAGGCCAGGAGTTCAAGACCAGCCTAGGCAAGATAGTAAGACCCCATCTCTACTAAAATTTTAAAAAATTAGCTGTGTGTTGTGAAATGTGCTTGTAGTCCCATCCACTTGGGAGGCTGAGGTGGGAGGAATTCAAGGCTGCGGTGAGTTATCACTGAGCCACTGCACTCCAACCTGGGTAATAGGGCAAGACCTTGTCTCTATTAAGAAAAAAAAAATCTTTATGTGGGTCACTATTCTGGGTGGCTGCAAAGTTCAAGACTGGGCATCTGCATCTGGTGACAGCCTCATATCGCTTCCACTCATGGGGGAAGATGAAGGGGAGCTGGTGCGTGCAGAGATCAGGTGGTGAGGGCAGAAGCAAGAGAGAGAGAGGAGAGGTGCCAGGCTCTTTTTAACAACCAGCACTGGGGAAACTAACAGACTGAGAACTCACTCACTCCTGAGGGAGGACATTAATCTATTGATGAGCGACCTGCCTCCATGACCCAAACACCTCCAATGAGACCCCACCTCCAACACTGCCACACTTGGGATTAACTTTCAACTTGAGATTTAGAGGGGGCAAACTTACAAACGATTGCAGGCACTAATACCACTCATGAGGGCTCCACCTTCATGAGCTAATCACTTCCTAAAGGCCTTACCTCTTAATCCCATCACAGTGGGGATTCGATTTCAACTTGAATTTTGGGCGGACACCAACTTTCAGTTCATAG